CCGATGGTTGTTGCGGTGGGAGGTAGTGACAACTGGGTAAGAATGGTGAAGGGATTAAGAAATACAAATTGGCTGTTACAAAATAGTCATGGGGATGTAAAGTACAGCACAGGGAATATAGTTAATAAAGTTGCAACAACTATGTAGAGTGCCAGGTGAGTACTAGACTAATCGTAAATTATGTAAATGTCTAACCACTACGCTGTACACCTGAAAATAATATAAAATAATATTGAATGTCAACTGTAACTGAAAAAAATATTTTTTAATTATTTTTTAAAAAATCAAACTGCCTAAAAAAGCATTGTCCAATACAGCAGCCACTGCCATATGTGACTGTTTTCATTTAAATTCATTAAAATTAAATAAAGTTAAAAATCCAGTTCTTCAGTCACTCTAGCTGCAGGTCAAGTTCTCAATAGCCACACGTGGCTAGTGGCTACCATACTGGACAGTGCAGTCATAGAACATGTCCATTATCCCAGAGTTCTACTGGACAGCTCTGGTCTAAAGGATATAAAGAAAATGTCTCCCCTCCTTTGCGTGTCCCCACTCCCCCTCCCTGAGGCGATCCTGCTGCCAGTCTCCTTTGTATCTCTGCAGAGACGGTTTATAAGTCTAAACAAGTGGGTATGGACGTGAACCTCTTTTATTAAAACAAATGAGAAAAGACCCTACACATTATTTGTTCCATGCTTTCTTCACTGAATGGACCTTGGAGATCACAATACAAGTGGCCAAATAGTACTTCATTCTCTTGAGTGGCCTGGTAGCAACCGACTGTCACCAGAACAACTGTCACCACCCCAGCCTTATAATGACACTCCTCTGTGTCACCCTGTGTGGCCCTGCTCTCTTCCTACTCCCAGTCTCCACATCTTCAGACTCTTTTTTGACTCTTTCTTTCACCTCTTTGCCTAATAAAACCTGGTTGTTCCCGGAGGACGTGGCCTTTCCTACCTTTGAAGTGGAGGCAGCATTTTCTCTCTCATCCACCTTCTCAAAGCCTGTCTTCGTCTTGGCGAATTCCAAACAAGTTGCTCTGGTTTTCTCCCTCAATACCCCCGGTTACATGCAGACTGAACCACCCAGTGCACCTCCTTGTCATTAACCCAACCTCCTGGCCTCTCTCCTTCATTCACTGAGGACAACAGCACCTGCTTCATCCCCTTCATCTCCTCCCTAAATTCTGCCAACATCCCCTCAATCCCAGCTGGAGAATCCCACCAACTCCTGGCCTCACAAATGCCCTTTTGTCCTCACCCATTCACTCCTATCCTAAATCCATAGCAATAAATGGACCAGTGAAGACCAGGCTTTCAGCACCCCACTCGCAAATCAGTGCCCCACACCAACAATTGTCAAGCTAAGCAATTGTTTAATGTTTCCAATCCCTGAGGACTATTCATTAACCTTGCTGTTGTCCTCCAACCCTCCTTACCCAGTTTGGATATTCTGGAGTGTTCTTAGAATCCCTTCCTTTTATACGAACTTGACTCCCTTGCCCCTTTTTCTATCTTAGTCACCTGTTGAAATCCCTGACCATGAGTAAAACTGATGATCTGCCTACTCCACACATACATTCCCCACAAGGTGACTAATAAAATTTGGAGCTTTTTTGAAATAAATAACTAGCTGGTGGGGCTACAAAATGGACCATCTGCTATGGAAAATAGTAAGGCGGTTCCTCAAAAAAAATTAAAAATAGTGCTATCTTATGATTCAGCAATCCCACCTCTGAGACTATATCCAAAAGAATTGAAAGCAGGGTCATGAAGAGATGTTTGTACACCCATGTTAATAGCAGCATTATTCACAATAGCTGAGGTAAAAAATCCCCACATTTCTATCAACAGATGAATGGATAAACAAAATGTGCTATGTGAATACAATGGAATATTAAATAGCCTTAAAAAGAAATTCTGACATATGCTACAATATGGATTTCCTCGAGGACATGATGCTAATTGAAATAAGCCAATTACAAAAGGACAAATACTGTATGATTCCACTTATATGAGGCACCTACAGTAGTTAAATTCATAAAAACATAAAGCAGAACAGTGGTTGCCAAGGGATGGGGAAAGAGTAAGAGGGAATTGTTTAATGAGTACAGAGTTTAGCTTTGCAAGATGAAAATATTCTGGAGATACGTTCACAACAGTGTGACTATACTTAAGGCTACTGAAATATGCACGTAAAATGTTTATGATGGTAAATTTAATGTTATGTGATTTTTACTACAGTAAAAAAAGTATAAAACAAAACTATTGGTTGGAGCTCTGCTCTGCGGTGGTGCTGAAGGTACACTGTCTTCCTCTGAACGCCAAGCACCTCATCACATCTATAGTCAGCAGGGGGCAAGGCTGAGGAAGGCATCTATTCTCTTTGCATTGGCAATTCCAAGATCAAGATTCATTCTGAAGCTTACAGCCAAAGTAGGAAAAATTAGAATTAACTTCGAACCAGTTGGGTGCTTCCCGATTCTCTCAAACAGTATTCTCCAGCAAGTAACTGAAAACCAATAGCTTTCCTAGCTCTGCCTCTCATAATTCATTCATGGTCTTTAATATGCAAACATGAGTTTCTCAGCTGGCAGTGATTTCATGAATTTTTAATTTACATGGAATGAGCCAGAGATTAAAACTTCCAACTAAAGCCAACAATAGAGGATTATGAGTGTCGTTTTAATCCCTAGAATCTCCAAATAAATTCACTGGCATCATCACATGAACTATTATCTGGGAATTATCAAAACAACCTCTCTGAGTTTTTGCCTTATGGGTATTAATATAGAAATACATTTTTTAAAAACAGTGCCTGCTTTGGGATCATGAAGAACAGTGAGACCAAAGACATTTATTGTTATCAATCTTAATCTTGGAAGAACTCCAAGCCACCTGGCAAATACTCACAGAGATCCCAACACAATGTGTGGCTTTGTGAATAATATGTAAGAAACTCATTTTACCATAAAGAAAATCAGATTAAAAATAAGCAAATTAGAAGAAAGAAATTGAGAAACACTGAACTCAATTCCTTCTGGAATTGCAAATCATATTCTGAATTATTACATCTAAAAATAACAAAAGGCAGAAGAGTTTTCTCTTTTGAGGGCAAGGCTCAATAGAAAAATAATATGAATCATATATGAAATTTTAAATTTCTAAAACCCACATTAAAAATGCAAACAGAGGCAAGTAAAATTAATTGTAAAAGTTTATTTAGCCTAATAGATCCAAAATATTCTTATATCAAAATATAATCCATATTTTTAAAATTATTAATAAAATGTTTATTCTTTTTTCTTTCTACATCTTTTGAATCTGGTGTGTATTTTACACTTACAACACCTCTTAGTACCAGCCACATATAAGTGCTAAAATACTACTAGAGGCTATTGTATTGGATCGCACTATAGGACCAAAGAACATATGTTCTTCTGACAGGGGAGGGACTAGCTCTTGAAATGTGAGCATATCTCTAGATTGCACTGTCTAGATTCTCACCACATTCCTCAAATAACAGCAAGCCAACAGCTTGGGTGGATGCATTAGCTGCTCTTTTGGCTAGACCAGTGTTAATTCAACTTTGGTTATTATGGTATCATCATTGAAATATTACAAATTCGCTTTACTACTATTGTTTTCTTAATTCTTTTCAACCACAAGTTGACTCACTTTTTAAAAAGTTAACCTTATCCAAAACAATATCATCTATGATATCACAAATTTGATACTTTAATTATATTTGTTAAAAGAATTAAAGTACATTAAGATAAATATTTAACACTTAAAGAAGTTTTTCTGCTCTACCTTAACCCAATGATGAACTAAATTTAAATGTATTCTCATTTGCAAGTCAGTTAATGGCATCATCTTTCAAAAGCTTTCCATTTGACACATGCAACCTCAGATATATTACTATTGAGTCTCCTGGCACCCAACATTTGTATTCCAACATTTATGTATTTGATGACACAGCATCCCCACTAAGAGTCCCTTTTGTCTGGACACCACCACAAACCACAGCAAGGCACGTTTACTCATTTATCTTCAACTGTTCAAAGGCTACAGAGGTGGGGTAAAACTCTCGCGCTAATGACCAGTGGTGGCTCAGCCCCAGGGGAGTCCCCTTAATAAATAATGATGATGGCAGCTAAGGTTTACTGAACTACATGCCAAACACTGTTCTCCCCCTCTCTTTCTCTCCCTCTCTCCCTCTATGAATTATATTGTGATCATTATATTTCATTCATATAATCACCATAATAACCCTTAAAGGAGGTATTGTTTTCCTACTCTTCCTGATGAGGAAACAAGGCACAGAGCAGTTAGCTTCCCAGTCACAGATAATAAGTTGAGGGGCTGAGAGTCAAAGCCAAGAAACCTCACTCTGGAACCTGTACTGTTATCACCCTGAGGATTACAAATGGAATAAAAAGATGGAAGTTGGAAAAGACACATGTTTTATGGTCACAAACACAAATCCCTCAAAGACAAATCATCCTTCACAGGATGTGGAGACTGGGGCAAGCAATATCCTCTAACACAGACAAGGATGGAAGACAAGTAGAATAATTTTAAATGCCCTCAAGATGTCTTCTGTATATTACACTGGAGAATTCATCTTCCTTAGAAGGCAAAAAGCATAAAAATTCAAAGTAATAAAGATTCCAACACCAAGAGAAAGAGGATGGAATGATGGATGGATTGACAGATGGATGGATAGATGAATGAACTGATAGACTGACAGATGAGCATACAAATATTCACTCCAGACTCAACAGAAGAGAATGGAGAGGATTAGAAAGGGACATCCCATCTCTCTGACCATCACAGAAGGGGCTGATATCACACCAGCCATTCCCAAAGGCAATTTGGGGACCTTACTCTTATCTCTGGGACCAAAGCTGCAGGGTGAGCTGTGTTGGCAACCTAATTATGTAGTCTTCATTTGCAAGGGCTCTGCAGGCTGGAAGAAAATAAAAATCCACTTACATGTATTCCCTATGAGCAGAGTGTACAGCGGCCGCATTGCTGTAACGCCACAGGACAATCGCCGACGACAGGACATCAAGGATGGCATCAAACTAGGAGAAGGAGACACGGCATTAGTGGTTTTGTAAAGTTCACAGGACATGACTGTGAAGACAAAAGGCAACTGTTCTGGGACTCGGAACAATGGAGCAGGTGGCCTTAGGGCAAGGAGGGTTCATGTCATTATGACGCAGACCACTCATCCTCCTCAAGGGGGACCCTGGGGATCCAAGCCCAGGGCACCCCACATGCCAGATCCTCCTCTTATCTCACACTGTTCCCATGGCCTGGGAAACTACACCGTGTGGCATGGTTTGTCTGCTCCCAGGGCCCCTGGCTCCCAGCACTCTGGAGATATGGGGAGATTACACTTTTCTAACACCTGTGAAATTGTGTCCCTGTGGCAAGTAAGATAATTTCAGCATTTTCCTGTATATCTCAAGTAAAAGATTCAGGGTGAGTTCTGGTTCTGATTCTGGCTCTCAATGGGACTGTTCTATCTGGGGTAAGGGTGGGTCACCCAAGGATTCTGGGAGGTCTGCCAACAGTCTGAAATTCTATACAAAAATTCAATGCTTTTATTTGAATGAAGGAGTGAATGTGGGGGAGGAGGGCGAGACAGTAGTATGAGTGAGTGTGAGTGTGAGTGTGTGGTGTGTAATTTTCTATAGAGACAGTCCACACCTTTGAAAAGATTTGGGAAAGAATCTGCAACCCCCAAAACATTAAGTTCTCACAACAAAGGGAAGAAGTAGGTTTGGGAACAGGAACACCTACTCTTAGGAACGGGAACACCTACCCTTAGATACAGGAAACCCTAAAGCTACACAGGAGGGATGTTTACAGGAGCTCTCTGTAAGAGTCATTGCACCATACCACATGTGTGATCTGGAAAATTACAAGCACTAGCACTCTCTTGAAGGGATATGGAGAAGCTTTACCCAAGTTTCAACATGTCTAGCCTATAAACCACCCGAGACCCGTTTTCTCTAACCAGCTCCCATCAGGAAGCAGGCTGGGAACCCAGGTGACCCCTAATCAGGCTACATACAGACTCATCCCAGCACCAGCAGCCCCATTCTTCACTCCCAGCACCTCTGCCTGCACCAGCAAAGTCTTTGCTCCAGTGTGTGCCCATTTTCAAACCTACAACCTCCAGGGGGGAAAAGGAGCTAAAATCCTAAAACACCCTCTCAACCCGCTGTGGGAAATGTGGTTCCTTAAACGGTGGCCCCTAATCTGTTCTTGAGAATCATACAGCGTCACTGCAGTTTACTTCTATTAAATGGTAACTTCTTATAGATGGTATTTCCTTAAAAGGTATGTTTGTCATGCTGAGCTCTCATCTGCTAACTACCCTCTTAACTGAGAGCCAGGGTGGCTTGTGAGCTCAGGAAAAAAATGTACAAAACTTCATAAAATTACATTTCAGGTTACTTACTGCAAACCCAAAAGCAGAGGCGCTGTACCTCATAACGGAGACAGCTAAAAAGAAAGAAAATATTATTCAGAATATTTGAAGACCTCATGGATATTTTCTCTCATTTGTGAGCATATTAATATATTTGATATGCCCTTAAACATCAATGGAAAAGTTCCAAGAGAATAAAATTTAAAATTAACTGTAGTTGTAAAATCTGAGAACTAAAAGCAAAGCAAAGCGTGAAGTAAAAAGATTCCAGACTTCACCTGCAGCAACCTCCCTGCCCAGTATGTTCTGAGCACGAAAAAAAAAACGGTTTCAGAATGAAAATTTTAAGCAGTTGTCGGTCAAATGACTGTTGAGACTTTGAGAATTTAGCAACAGGGAACAGAGAGCTGGGAACTATATTAAACTTTCAAAGTGAAAGTACAACCACCCAAACTTTTCCCATAATAAGGTAATTAGTGGTATCTACATACACATGCCATTGCTAACACAATTGGGGGGAAAAAAAACAAAAAATCAAAACAAAAAAAAAAACTCTTGCCCCGTCAGAGCTTAAAATCCAGTGTAGACCTCAAAAAAACTGTTTAGAAAATCAACAACAAAATATCTCAAACAATAGATGTATACAAAAGTAGATGTAACAATTATAATTAAAACATTTATCCATATTCAAATACAATATCTAACTTTTGAGGGGTATGTCAATTGAGTAGCACTTTTGCCTCGTTCGGTGATCTGTTCTATGCTAAAGCAATGTCCAGCTTCAAAGACTGTTCTCACTTTGACTTAAAGACAGCTCTCCATATTGCACAAGTAAATGTCCACCCTCCAACAAAAAATGAACCCCTACCCAGTGAGTGAGTGGGTCAGCAAAGCTTTGGATTGTTCCAGGCACAGGTATTGCAAGCACTCACTCACCGAGTAAGAGAGGCCTGGGGCAGGAAGGTCAAAATTCCCACTAGGCTCAACACATGTCTCTTCTCTGGGACCTGCTCTCTGTCCCACCCCCAAGATCCAGGAATGGGCCCTAGACAGCCCTGCTGTGCTTTTATCCCTGCCCCCAGCCACAGATGCTCATCTGACCCAATGTGAAGCAAGCCTATCTCATCTTCTGTGAATTAGGAATTGAGACTAAGAGAGTCTACCTGGTAAATTTATGTTGTTGGAATTGAAACCTTTACTCACTGGAGTGAGGGTTCACCATCGTTGGCCATAAAGACTGAGGAGCAGAGAGAAAAGCATGGGGTAAACTCAGCTCTGGGGCAAGAGAGAACCTCAGGCTCCCGAAAGTTTCCAAGCCCTTCCTGAGACTCAGCCACTCTCCAGTCCTCATGCTGTGTAATGTAATCCATTAAATTCCTGACCATCTTATTTTTGAAATGAGCTGCTGTAGCTATCCCTGCTGTTGCTCGTACCAGCATAGGGAGAAGGGCAGAGCCAGCTGTGTGCAGTGACCAACTATAGCTTTCTCTGGCAGCACACGTGTGGCAGTGCAAACGGGCACTGCATCTTCCCAGAGAACTCAACTCACGAGCCACATGGGCATGTGTGAAAACGGCAGCAGATCCCTCGGGGCACCAAGATGCCCTATAGAGCACTGAGCCTAGCTTGCAGGAAGTGCTCAGTCAAGTTAACTAAGCTTAATAAACTTTCACAGAAATAAGTAAAAATGAGCATATGTTTTTTTCCTTTACAACCTGTTTTTAGAGTATGTGTGCCTGTTAGCTATGTGCCTTTGGGTGGTTACTTCTTTATCAGTAGTGGAATATCTTTTGAACTCCCACTAACATCTTGCACAGATGCTCAATATATACAACAGAGCAAGAAGCGCAGCCCAGCCAGAGCTCCTGCTTTGTCTCTATCTGGCCTGGGCACCACGGGCTGGAGGGCACAGCTAGAAAAGCACTCGGCTCATGGGCACTGAAGACCACTTCCTTTCTAAGCAGTAAACCATTCCTTTAAAAAGTTGTAATCGAGTTATTGGGTAATACCAGACATTTAGACAATGGGCTAGAGAATTCAAAGAGGTGGACGCCCACTTGATCATACTGAAGACCCTTTTCTCAGCGACTCTGGACTCCAACAAAGGATCGGGCCATTGAATGGTGGGGTTTCCCTGACTCAGTCGGAGTCAAAGCCCAAGATTTCAAACATTCAAAGAATTATATTGGAAAGTTCTGTTTGTGTGAGTTCAACCTGCTCAATTGAGTCTTACTACAGTTCTATCCTCCATGCACTGAGGCAAACGTGAGCAAGAGGGCTCGATGTTAGCCCAGAGCCCTTCACAGACGAAGGATTAGCATGCATCAGTTACCTATAAATTAGCTCCATCTCATCTCCCTGATGAGATTGAAAAGGAAAAAATGCCAAAAATTGCATGCAGCATCCAGGGTACCCTGAAGGGCCCTTCACACAGCCTTGGCTCAGGCAGCCTCCCTTGCTGAGCAGCTCCCCGACTCTCAAGATGAAATAACAGCAAATAGTCATTAGGCCAGGATGCGAATGGAAGAGGTCAGCAGCCTTTTAGGGATTTCTGAAGAGTGTAAAGTAATAACTTAATTTTCTTTTGGCCTATAATTGAATGTGACACATCTGAATTCTGGGATAAGAACAGACTCAAAAGAAAGGGTCGGATTGGTTTAGACAGGCCCTGCTCCCACAGAAAGAGAGCACATTATGGGGTTTTCATCAGGACATTTCCAAACTTCCTTCATACTCAGAATGGGTTCCACTTGGAGAACGCAGGCCAGGGCCAGAATGACCCACCAAGGCAGAGATTACCAGGTAGGTGCCCCCTGAAGCCCCACATGTACTTGGGTAAGGGTAGCTGAAAGCTACCACAGGTCCAACAAAAGTCCAGCATGCCTTGAAGGCGGGTGCAAATTCAACAGTGGACAACAGACAAGGGCCCTTTTGACCTCAGACAATGATGCTGCAAGCTGCCAAGGTCGGTGGAGAGACAGGCAATCGGCACCATGCAGCGGGGCTCTCCTAGGAAGACTGCTTTCGGTCAGGGCAGGGGCCATGGAGCTGAAGGGAATGAAGTCACTGTGCCTGTCAGCCAATGCTGCAAAGTCTGCTTAACCAACTCCGCAGCTGCTCTGTAAAGGAGCACTTGGCTGTCAGCAGCCTCCAAATTCATCTGGATAGCGCTGCTGTCAGGATCCCTTAGGGAAACGTTTCAAGAATGTTTCTGCTCCTCACATTTAGAACCTGTTTCCATGGCTCATAACTGAAACGTGTACTTCGGGAGCCAGTGGCCCCCAGCAGCCCATGAGGCATGCAATAACAGGCCATCAGAGCCCCGTTCCCCAGGGAGGTGGGCCCGGTTTCCTGCCTCAGTGAGAGTGGTGAGAGTGGAGGGACACTGCCATCTGGTCCAGCTGGCCTTCCACACCCAAAATGCATGCTTAGGACAACTTGGCACCTCTCACTTTCCATGCTGTCTTCTTCTTTCTTCTTCATTTTTTTTTTAAAGTAAGACACAGAGTCCTTAAATGTTCATAAGCAAAATGAAGATCAGTAGTTTGGGACCTGCCCATTATCCATTCCCATCCCCAGTCCCCAGGTAAGAGCACTCTGGGAAGCAGTACCTCCCCTAACCCCCAACTATTTGGTTTGGGTGGGATGCCATCATTATCCCCACTCTAGTATATCCTTGTTCTATGGCCAAAGTGAATGATTCAAAGATGGCACAGTGTGAACCAAGGAGAACCTGTCCTGAGTTTTTGCTGAAAATACTGGAAAGAGATATCTTTCTAAGAGGAGATTGTAGAATTGGTAGCTTGAAAACAGGAGTTTAAGGTAGCAATTTTGCCTGAAATGTGGAAAGGCTGTCTCAGAATGAAGCCAACACAGAGGAAAGCAGATAAAAGATACAAATCAGACCCCTGGTGACATGAATCAAATCTCTGGAATCAGCCCTACTTGAATTTTTTTCAATTATGTCAGCCAATAATATCCTTTAATTTGCTTAAGCCAGTTGGAGTTGAGTTTGTATCACTTGCGGCCCAATGTCTTAACATAATATAACTTGACCCAGTAAACCCATGTCCAAGAATCTCTTTTAATGTCTAAACAATGAGAAAACACTTTATACACAAAAGGTTCATAGGAAGTAGCTTTATGCACTTTATAAAGCAAAACACTGGACATAATCTAAATGCCTAGCAGTGGGGTGATGATTAAAGTATGGTCCATTAGAAAAATAAGCTATATGTAGCTATTGAAAATGCTTACATGGAGGGCTGGGTGAGGGGCTCAGTTGGTTAAGAGTTTGCTTAAGAGCACGAGCTCTGAGCAACAGGGTTGCTGGTTCGATTCCCACATGGGCCAGTGTGCTGCACCCGAGCTGTGCCCGAGCTGCCAACAGGTGGCAGGATGGCTCAGCTGGTGAGAGCACATGCTCCTAATGACAAGATTGCCTGTTCGATGGATGGTGGGTTACACCTGGGACCGAACTGGGCACCTTGAGCTGAGCTGAGCTGCCACCTGGATGGCTCAGTGGACAGAGCGTGCGCTCTTAACAGCAAGGTTGCCAGTTCAACTCCCACATGAAAAAAATAAAAATAAATAAATAAATAAATATGCTTACAAAGGGGCTGGCTGAGTGGCTCAGTTGGTTAAGAGCACGAGCTCTGAGCAACAGCATCGCTGGTTCAATTCCCACATGGGTCAGTGAGCTGCGCCCGAGCTGAGCTGCTACTAAGATGGTGAGAGCATGTGCTCTTAGCAGCAACATTGCCGGTTTGACTCCCACATGGGATGGTGGGCTGCACCCCCACACATGCACATACACACACACACCCTGCAACTAAAAGCGGTGACTAGACTTGAAGCTGAGCTTGCACCCTCCACAACTAAGACTGAAGGACAACAACTTGACTTGGAGCTGATGGGTCCTGGAAAAACACAATGTTCCCCTTCCCCAATTCTCCAACATTATTCCCCCTCCCCAATTCCCCAACATTGTTCCTCTCCCCAATTCCCCAATAAAAATCTTTTTTAAAAAAATGCTTACAAAAAGTAGTGTTGGTTAATGCTTTTGTGGGCATAT